CCCTCGGACGGGAGCGCTGCCGCGCTTCCCAAGCGGCGCACTATCCAGTGCGCCACCGGGCCGGCCCTGTTTTGCTAATTTTTATGTCAAATCAGTTTTCTCGAACTTCAGAAGGGCTGGATTGGTGAGTATAGTCCAGCTTCGTAGCTCTACAGCTCCCTTTTCTGTTGCTTTCATGAAATGTGTTCAAAAATAGGGTTTCATGATTTCTGAGATCTGTTTCTCTTTTCTGCCTTTTTTGGACAGTCTCTTTCCTTTTCTTCTTGTGTCCATGTGAAATCTCTTCCTTCAGTTTATAATATAAAAACAAAAAAGAATAAAACTGGTCCCCATCATGCTACCCACATAACCCCTTTTGACCATCGATAGTAACAGATAATGTATATATTTAGGATTCAACTATTAAGTGAAAGTAACAGTTTCAAGAAATTCCTTACAGGAGAAAGAAGTATACCTTTATCAAAATATATGTAGTTATATTCTTAAAAATATATGTGTATACAAATTGTTCTTGAACTTGCTTTTGTTTATTTAATACAGAGGTCTCCCCTTGTCTGTGGTTTCACTTTCCAAGATTCAGTTCCCGTGCAGTACAGTACAATAGGATATTTTGAGAGAGAGAGAGAGAGAGAAACCATGTTCATATAACTTTTATTGCAGTATATTATTATAATTGTTCTATTTTATTATTAGTTATTGTTGTTGATCTCTTACTGTGCTTAATTTATAAATTAAACTTTATCATGGGTATATATGTGTAGGAAAAAAATATCGTGTATATAGGTTTCAGTACTGTCCGTGGTTTCAAGCATCCACTGGGGGTCTTAGAATGTATCCTCTGCAGATAAAGGGGGACTACTATATATCTAAGTGTTGTTTTAAAATTGGGAATATGTGTCAGCTACAGAATATTATTACTGCTTTTTTTAAACATTCTTAAGATTTCTCAGAGTAATTCAGGGAATGGGCTCTTCTCCCTCTTGGGCCCCTTTTCTTGATAGAAAGGCAGGATTCCTATATGGTTTGGGGAAGGAACCAGGGCTGGCAATATAGGCATTTTTTCCAAGATCATCCCTTGCCTGTTAGAGACCTGTCTAATGTTTTCAGTAATGTTTTTTGTGTAATTATTAATCCCCTTAGTGTATTCTGTGTTTAAATAACCTTTATGCAGTGAGGTTATCGTGGTTGTATGTTCCCATCTCCCAGCTGTCCTTAGATCTGTTGCCTCCGGTTACGCTGTTTCAGATGACATGTTTTTCAGGAGCTCTGATAACTTTGATGTTTTATATGTACCTTCTCTGTCAACATATATCTTCTCTGTCAATTTGAATATATAGTCCTTGAGGATAGGGAATGGTCTTTTTCTGCATATTAGTGCTCAAAAAATCTTTCCTGATGATGGACAGACTGCCTGAGGAGGACTGATGATGCTTTTTGGGACTTGTGTTTTACTTCTTCCAGGGGAGCCAGGAAGTGGGACGGAAAGTGATACTTCTCCAGACTTCCACAATCAGGAAAATGAGCCCAGCCAAGAGGACCCTGAGGATCTGGATGGATCTGTGCAGGGAGTGAAACCTCAGAAGGCTGCTTCTTCCACTTCCTCAGGGAGTCATCACAGCAGCCATAAAAAGCGAAAGAATAAAAACCGGCACAGGTCAGTGGTAGGGATCCTACCCCCGAGAGTTTCCATGACTATTGCTATGAAGGGACTTTCCTAGAATAAAAACTCTTCATGATTGTTTCAGAGCCTTTCTGTTGATGATGGGAAAAAATTCCTTTGGTCTAAATGAAATGGGCTAGTTTTTTCTCTAAGGGAGGAATTGGTGGGCATTAAAGTAACGTCGAAGGAGAACTGTAGGACGTCCTTCTTACTGTTTCTAGTGCCGAGGAATTTTATTCCATAAAAACTTTGTTTCATATGGTGAATTTGAAATCCTTTTAGAAGAGAAAAAGAGGAAATGGAAACAAAATCTGTGTAACAATATTTGAAAAATGCCACTAGTATATATTTGGAAGCTATAAAGTGAGAGAAAGTCTTCTGCTCTTATCCTGATCCCTGCCTACTCTTACTTCCTTGTGGTTGGAGAGAACTGATTTGACATGCCTTTTTTCTTTTTAAATACAAGTTTTCTGATTGCTTGTGATTTGTCTGTTTTTGTATTTCCCTGCAATATGCTGACTTCAGATATCGGAGGAACAATATAAAGCCTGTTAAATATGAGAGTGCTTTCCTAGATAACATTTGTCCACTGTCTTTTTTGCAGTGCATAATGAGATAGG